GAATACATACAAGCAAAAGCCTGGGGAAGGTCCCTGGGAATGGTTACTAAGGGTGTGGGATACTGGTGCACGAATGTAATATTAGACCAGTCTGAGTTTCTGGATATGGGACCCCTAAGCACAGACTCTTCTTTCAATGTCTCTGCGAGAGAGGTTAAGAGAGGATCTAATTCTGTATTTGGTTGGTTCAATGAATCATGGACTGCCAGATGGCCTAGATTGGACCAACTTGAAATACCTGACCTACCTTGGTAGACTGTAGAGGAAGGCATCCAAAAGCTTAGAGAAAATGGTATGTTGGAATAGATCTATCAGGATATTCCCACAGACCCAAAAAGGGGGTGTCCTGAGGACATAACCTTTACCACAACCATAAGGAACAAGTTGGTGAAGTGGGCCCCAGCATCTCTGAAGACTCCTGTAATTGCTATTTTATGTGCACCAGGATTCACAGTGGGCACTGCCCTAAGCAAACTGCGACATTTGCCCACAATGGGGCTGATTGGTTCCCGTGATGGTAGAGGGCAGGTGTCAGCACTGAATCAACAGAGACAGGGTAGGTGTGGTTATAATAGACAACAAAGTTTCAGTAGTACTCAAATCAACCTGTCTCGTGTGGAATTATGGCATTGGCTACTTAGCCACGGTGTCCCTAAGAATGAAATTGATGGGAAACCTACTAAGTATTTACGTGATCTCTACAGGCAAAAGAATGGTAGATCAGGTGGACAGCAGAAAAGACAGTCACGATTACTCAATCAATTCCCATACCTGAGCCAGTTTAAAGACCCACAACCTCTTGAATGAGGGGGAGGCCGGGTCCCTTTGATGGAGGACCCTGCTACATCAGCGAAGGTCTATACTGTTAGTCTTTCTTCTAGCCTTCCCCAAAGGGACCTGCGGCCTTTCACAAGAGTAACTGCTCATTGGGGGAAAGGAAATAATCAGACTTTTCGGGGATTACTGGACACTGGCTCGGAACTGACACTAGTTCCAGGAGACCCAAAGTGTTTCGAAGGCCCACCAATTAGAGTGGGGGCTTAAGGAGGTCAAATTATCAGTGGGGTTTTAGCTCAGGTATGCCTCACTGTGGGTCCAGTGGGCCCCCGGACCAATCCTGTGGTTATTTCCCCAGTTCCAGAATGTATCATTGGGATAGACATACTTAGTAACTGGCAGAACCCCTATATTTGATCCATGAAAATGTGGAATAAGGGCTATCATGGTAGGAAAGGCCAAGTGGACACCATTAGAACTGCCATTGCGTAGGAAAATAGTAAACCAAAAGCAATACCGCATTCCTGGAGGGATTGCAGAGATCAGTGCCACCATCAAGACTTGAAAGATGCAGGGGTGGTGATTCCTACCACATCCCCATTTAACTCGCCTATTTGGCCTGTGAAAAAGACAGATGGATCCTGGAGAATGACAGTGGATTATCGTAAACTTAACCAGGTGGACTCCAATTGCAGCTGCCGTTCCAGATGTGATTTCATTGCTTGAGCAAATTAATACTTCTCCTGGTACTTGGTATGCAGCTACTGATCTGGCTAATGCCTTCTTCTCAAAGGACCACCAGAAGCAGTTTGCCTTCACTACATCAAAAAACTGATGGACATTCAGTATGTTTTTTGAAGCAAATAGAAATGAATGTAATTTTAGGGTAGCATTTCATGAAAAATACTAATTTTTAAATTTGTTGAAGAATGGATGCCTAGTTACTGGAATAATGGCAATATAGTTTTTCTCATTAAGGCCCTGTGATGGGCAGAATAATATTCCCTAGTCCCCATCAAGATACTAAATAAAAATTCCAGAAATCTGTGAATGTGTTACTTTGTGATATTACTAAGAGTACAACGAAATAGGGAGTTTATCTTGCATCACCTGTGAGGGTCCAATCTAATATACAAATGTTTAAAACCAGAGAAACTTTTACAACACTCAAAATGAGAGGGGACTATAGAAAAATAATGGTAGCATTTAAAGATGGAGGAAACTAGTCGTAAGCAAAGGAAGTTAAAACAGGCACAGGCATTCTCCTTTAGATCCTCTTTAAATGAACACAAGTCTTGGAGTTTATTCCAAATCCAACCCCAGTTCAGATTTCTAGCCTACATGAACCGTAAGAACAATTGTGGATATAAAGTTATCAAATTTGTGGTGACTAACGAATCACCAGCAGCAACAAGCAACTAATATACACTTTTGCAAGCTAACCCAATGAAATGAGAATCATGTTTTAACAATTGCAGGATCCATCTATAAGATCTGGAAAATTTTAAGATAGGCAATATCCACTTACTGTAGTTTTTTTTAAAACTAGTTTTATTGACATGTTATTCATAATCATACAATTGAGTAGATCAGTCATAGTAAAAAGAGTTGTGCATTCATCCGCACAATTTCAGAACATTTCCTTCTTTCCTACCTTTTGAAGGGAATGCTGTCCTAAAGATACTTTTAAAAATCTAATGTCCTTAAGTGTCGTGTTTTAGCAATAATGTGCAGCAAACTACTGATAATTTTATAAGGTGAGCGTAAAAACATTGTTTTTAATTTTCTTGCGTTTACCTTTTATTTAAGAGTTTCTGCACTCACAAAGTGATTTCTTATTTACTGGACTTTCAGGTGTGTGATGCAGGAAACGTGCTGAATTCTCTCACTGGGATTGCTGTGAAGGGCTGGCGTCTCATAAAGTTGAGCGGGACTCGTCTGGAGTTTCTAGGCGTCCGGCAAAACAACCAAATTACCATATAGAGGCCGAAAGGCCAGCCTCGTAGACTCGGGGGTCTCTTTTCCAATGACCACCATTCATAACTAAGACGCTTACCAAACATCCGAACACCAGACCTCTGGTACCTGCCAGAGGCTCTCAGCAGCCAAATTCACACTCAAGCAGTGCGCGACCCAAATATCGCGATAACGCTCCCTGGCTTTCGGTACAAGACCAATCTGCCTCTCTGAACACCAGGGCAAAACCTGGGGATCTTGTTCTCGCGAGATCTCGATGACAGTTCGGAGGCCCGTTCTCGCGGGATTTTCGGAGTCTAGGTTGCAATGTAGCGCTGCAGAGGGAGGCTCCGCAGCCGCAAGGAGCTGTGCTTCCGTCCTGCCGTCTTCCCCAGGCCGAGTCAGCAGCGGTGGTAGCGCTGGCGGAGGCAGAACCTGAGACGCCTTGGTGAGCGCTGCCTTATCGGCAGCACAAAGCGCTCTTCTGTTTTGCCGTCGCCTCAGACGCTTCCATCTTCTTCCTGGCACCCCTTAGCCTCTCCATTTGCCCCCCGCCGCCCCGTGGCTGCGGACTACCGGGGCGTCGCTGCAAGGAGGGCGGCGGGAGATGCTTCAGTGTAACACCTATCCGGTGTTCAATGCGGCCGCACTGCTAGGCTCCTCCCCCTTGCCAGATGGATCGCTCCGATCCGAAGTTCTGCGTTGAAACCGCCCGCAAAGGTATATATAGGCTTCCAGCTGGCCTCCTGGCTTTACTGCTTTCGGTGGACCCGTTCTAGCCAGTACCCTCCTTGTGTGGAGTTTACCCAGTAGTTCCTCTGAGGGACCGTAGGAGAATACACACCCCTCAAGAGCTGAGATAAATCCTTTAGGATTCACTGCTGTGAACTTGGACTCTGGAATCAGACTGCCCTTGGCCCTTCTGGCTTTGACAAATTACTTGCTGGAACATCTTGATGCACTTTCCTCATCTGTAAAATTGATGGGTTGTTGGCTTTAAAGAATGAGACGGTGTATGCACAACACAAAGCGTCTGGCACACAGTAAATGCTCAATATTGTTATTGATTGGAAGGTTTTGTTGTTAAGTAGGCGAATAAGAGTTGAGACATTTAGTTCAGTTTAGTTTTATTACATCAAGAGCTTAATACATGATGTTCCAAAAGCTTTATAGTACGCCTTTGATCAACTCACAAGAAAGTTTGAGGCCATTATAGTCATGTGCCTTAAATCTTCTGGGATGTCTTTAGCCCTCGATTTAGAGTTTTTATCCATAATCATGATATATCAAACGCTATCAGGTATTGAGTACTTGTTCTGTGTTAGTCATATGCTTATTGTTTATCTAGATGGTTCTGGTTTAAGTCAAGGAGGAATTCAGAGCTTAAGCTCAGAGAGTTGAAGTAACATGCCAGAACTCAGAAGGCTTGGAATTGAAGATGGAACTCAGACATTTGTTGTAGTTGTCCCAGTGAGTCTGTTCCAACTCATAGCAACCGGACCTCTGTAGACAGAATGGAAAACTTCCTGGTCTGGCAGAGCCCTCACCATGATTCTTGTGTTTGAGTTCATACTGCAGTCCCCCTTCTTGAGGATCTTCCTTTTTCTCTGACCTTCCTCTTTTCCAAACCTGATGTCCTTTTCCTAGGGACTAGTCCCTTCTGATACAAGGACACCTGGTGGCAAAGTGGTCCCGATTTAGGCTGCTCACCACAAGGCCAGCAGTTGAAACCGCCAGCTCTTCCACGGGAGAAAATTGGGGCTTCCTGCTCCTGTAAAGAGTTACAGTCTCAGAAATTCACAGAGGCACTTCCCCGCTGTCCTACAGGGTCACTGAGTTGGCATCTGCTCAATGACAGTGAGTTTTTGGGGGGTGGGGGAGGGAGAGATATCCTCTTGATAGCATGGCCAAAGTATAAGAGATTAAGTTTCACTGTTCTTGTTTCGGTTGTACTTCTTCCAAGACAAGTTTATTCACTCTTCTTGCCGCCACTAACACCATCGTTCAAGTGCATCAGTTCTTTGCTGGTCTTCTTTTGGCGCAGATTTATCATGCATATGAGTTTATTGAAAACACTATGGGTTGGGTCAAGCATGCCTTAGTCCTCAAAGTGATATCCTTGTATTTTAACAGCAAACTCTTTTTCAGCAGGTTTGCTCAAAGCAATATCGTTTGATTTCTTGACTGCTACCTTCATGGGTGTTAGATCCGAGTAAAACATAATCCTTGACAACTTCAATTTTATCTCCATGTATCATATTTATCGGTCCAATTGTAAAGGTTTTTGTGTGCTTTTCATTGAGGTCTAATCCCTACTAAAGGTTGTATTTGTTCTCTGTTCGTAAGTGCTAAGGGAGAGTGCTTCACGTTTTCTTTCAGCAAGCAAAGCTGTGTCATCTGCATATTGAAGGTTGTTAGTGAGCTTTCCTTTAATATTGATGCTGTGTTATTCATAAAGTCCAGCCTCTTGGATTATTTGCTCAGAATACAGATGGAGAAAGTATAGTTTTATATACATTGTGGAATGTCTTTGTATGTCAAAACAAAAGTAAACATCTTTCTAGTATTCTGTACTGTCAGCCAGGATCCATCTGATGTCAACTGGATCCACACCTTCTGAATCTGACTTGCATTTCTGGCAGCTCCTTAACTATATATTGTTGCCACCGTTTTTGAATTCAGCAAAATTTTACTTGTGTGTGATATTAATGATATTGTTTGATAATTTTCACATTCTTGTGGATCCCCATTCTTTGAAATGAGCAAAAATATGGATCTCTTTGAGTCAGTTGGCGATAGCTGTCTCCTAGATTTCTTGGGATAGAAATAATAAAAATAGAAATTGAGAGTAAGAGCTTCTAGTCCTGCATCAATTTTTAAGAACATCTTGCTTTTCATTAATTCCTTGACCCTTATTATTTGCTAATGCTAATGCTGTCAGTGCAATTAGTTCTTCCTTCCTTCCTTTCTTGGTCATATGTCACCTCTTGAAATGGTTGAATGTCTATCAGTTATTTTTGGTACAGTGACTATCTTCTTTTGATGCTTCCTGCAGCATAGTTTGCTTCAATAATGCATCTTGAGGTTTACATTCTTCTTTTCTTTCAGTTTGAAAAATGCCAGGCCTGTATTTTTCTTTTGCCATTCTACCTCTAGGTCTTTACACATTTCATTATAATATTTTAGCTTATCTTCTTGAGCCATTCTTTGAAATCTTCTGTTCAGCTTTTACATCATTAATACTTCCATTTCCTTTAGTACTCTATTCAATTTAGTGTTTCTATTGACATCCATTTTGGTCTTTTGTTTTTCTTTCCCTTCCTGACTTTTGAATGATCTTTTGGTTTCTTGGTGTTTGGTAGTCTCATCATCTTACAACTTGTATGGTCTTCAGTCATTAGCACTAAATCTGTCTAATTTACTCTTGTGATGTTCTCTAAATTCAGGTGAGACCTGCTTGAGGTCACACTTTGGCTATCCTGGACTTCAGTTGAAGTTGCATCTGAGCAACTCATAGCTTGTTCCACAGTTGGCTCCTGGCTTGGTTCTCACTGATGACCTTCTCCATTATCGCTTTCCACGGATGTTGTGGATTTGATTCCTGTGTATGCCATCTGGTGAGGTACAAATGTATAGTCACCATTTATGTTGTTATGAAAAGGTTTTTGCAATAAACAAGTAGTTCATGATTACAAAGTGTTAGCTATATGTAAACATTCATAAATCTTTTCTATAATCTTTTATTGAGTGTCAGACATCATTCTAGGTGCTTAAGATTTAGTAGTGAACCAAAATAGATTTAAATTGGAGCATGTATGTTATTTTCTCTGAAGATGAAAACCAAGCAGTGTAAATAGAGAGGAAGGAGCGGGGCTGCTATTTTAGATTAAATGATATAGTGTCTTTTGAGCAGACACCTGAATGAAGTCGAAGTATCAGCCACTTAGGTATTTAGAAAAAGTGGTTTGGTAGAAGTATAGAAAACTTGTGGGCCCTAAGGAGTCCTGCTGGCTCTTTTAGATAAACTTGGGTTACTAACTGAAAGGTGCTGCTTTAAACCCACCAGCTGCTTCCAGGGAGATAGATGAGGCTGGTTGTTCCCATAAAGATTTATAAAGCATTGAAAAGTTATATAGGGTTGCTATGACTTTATTGGCTTGATGGCAATGGACTTTTGGTTGGTTTTGGTGGGAGCTGTGGATAAGGAGCAGCAAAAAGATCAATTTGGAATAAAAGTGTAAGAGTGTAGGAGATGATGTTAAAGAAGAAGAGAGGGACCAGAACTTTAGGGGCCTTATCACCTCCAATAAACCCCCAAACCCAAGAATTGAAGACTTCAAAGAAATGCTCGAGAAAACCAGCTAAAATATTATAAAGATGTGCAAAGACCTGATGTTAGGAAATCAAAAGAAAATAAATAACTAGTTGTTAGGAAATCAAAAGAAAACAACATGCTTGCATTTTTGAAGCTGAAAGGCTGAAGGAAAAATTTAAATATGAAGTTCCATTACGAAAGGAATCCGTGGGCACAATATATCATCTCCTATTCCTTATTCTCCATCTCAGTGTTTAGAGCCTTAGTGGCATTGTGGTTACACCGTCTAGTCGGTTCCTTCTCATAATGATCCTGTATACAACAAAATGAACCACCACCGGTCCTGTTCCCTTCTCACAGTGTTCTCTATGTGCAAGTCCATTGTTTCAGCCGCTGGGTCAATCCATCTTGTCAGGGGCCTTCTTTTTTGCTGTTCCTCCGTTTTACTAAGCATGATGTCCTTCGCCAGGAACTCGTGTTTTCTGATAACATGTACAAAATAGAAGAGCCGAACTCTCGCCATCCTTGCCTCTAATGGAACATTCTGGCTGTACTTCTTCCGAGAGAGCTCTTTGTTCTTTTGGCTGTCTTAGGTACTTCCAATATTCTTCATCAACACCAGAGTTCAAATGCATCGATTCTTCTTTGGTCTTCCTTATTCAGTGTCCAGTTTTCGCATGCATATGAGGCCACTGAAAATACTATGACTTGGGTAAGGTGTACCTTAGTCCTCAAAGTAACATCCTTGCTTTTCAACGCTTTAAAGAGGTCTTGTGCAGCAGTATTACCCAATGCAATGCATCATTTGATCTCCCATGAACATTGCTTTTAGACCCAAACAAGATGAAATCCTTGACAAGTTCAATCTTTTTTCTTCATTTATCATAATGTTACCTTTTGGCCCATTTGTGAGGATTTTGGTTTTTACATTGCGCTGTAATCCGTACTGAAGACTAAAATCTTTTATCTTCATCAGCAAGTGCTTCAAGTCCTCCTCACTTTCAGCAAGCAAGGTTGTGTCATCTACATATAACAGGTTGTTATTAAGCTTTCCTCCAACCCTGATACCATATTCTTCTCCATACATTCCAGTTTTTCTGATTATTTGCTTAGCACACAGATTGAATATGGTGAGAGGATTCCATCTTCTTTTCCCTTCACACACCTTTTCTGATTTTAAACCATCCAATATTCTGTTTGCACAACTGTATCTTGATCCATATACAGATTTTGCATGCAAACAATTAAGTGTTCTGGAATTCCCATTCTTTTCAAGGCTATTCATCGTTTGTGATGAGCCCTGGTGGTATAGTGGCCTAGGAGTTGGGGTACGAGCTGCAAGGTAAGCAGCTGAGCTAAAAACCAAAAGGTCAGCAGTTCAAAAGCACCAGCCACTGTCTGCATGAAGAGTTACAGCCTCAGAGATCCACAGGGGCTGTTTTACCCTGCCCTCATGGAGGACTATGAGGGACAGTCAACTTGATGGCAGTGAGTGTGAGTTTTACTATACCACTAGTTATGAGATGTACCTTATAAGCTAGTTATAAGGTATGGGGTGTTTCTTTCTAAGCTATATTTGGACTCATCATTTCCTTCTTTATTTCTATAGACAGATGGTGTCCCGGAGAAAGATGTCTTGCTCCTTCTCCAGAGAATGAAAAGCTTTGTGAAGCAAGCATAAAATCTATCACTGTGGATGAAAATGGGAAGTCATTTGCAGTTGTCTTATATCAAAATTCTCTAGAAAGGAAAGTACCTCTTAAGAGGCTTCAAGAGGTAAAACCTATTAAAGATTGCTCCAGGAATTACATATTTGATGATGAAGATTTAGAAAAACCGTATTTCCCAGATCAAAAATTTCCATCATCTGCTGTTGCTTTTAAATTGTCTGAAGATGGAGACTGTATTCCTTATACTATTAATAGGTATTTGAGAGACTATCAAAGAGAAGGAGCCCAGTTTCTCTATGGACACTACATCCGTGGAAGAGGGTGCATTCTTGGTGATGACATGGGACTTGGGAAAACAGTGCAGGTATTTATTTTAATTTCTTTATCATTAAAATCCAATAAAGTAATTTTATTATGCACATGAGTCGGCACCAAATGGAAATCTTCATTTTCACTTCCAGATGTTTTGATAGTTACTTTCTGTGTGTGCATTACCCACTGAAGTCCTCAAAACTAAGGATGGTGTCTCATTCATTTTATCCTTAGTACTTACTTAGAACCAATAACATACATTGTTCAGAAAGAATTGTTTATTATAAAGTGGCTTGGTTTTACCTTTGGTAGGACTGTACTAAGGCATTTTTAATATTCAGAATGGTTTCACCTTCTTTTTAGTACTTTATAGCAGGAAAGTATTCTGACATTTGATAGGTTACCTTTCATGACTACATTGATACGGATTTCCTGTAGCTGTTTTGTAAATATTGGTTGGATTTATCGTTTCAGAATTGGCTTTATTAGGGAGCCACTTCACCTCTAGAAGTTCTGTTAGTGACTTCAAGAGGCCTCTTAGTTCTCTGAAATGTATGCCAGATCATGTATCTACAGCTATGTGTGCCTTTCTGCAGAGTGGATCTCTTCATTATCTCATGCTCTGTATTGTAACACACTGCCTCCAAATCTAGCAACTGAAAACAACACTCATTTACCGGCTCACAGGTTCTGTGAGCCAGGGACCCAAGTGCCCCTTAGCTGAAGCTTCTGCCCCTGTCTGTCACAAAACTGCAGGCATCTCAAGGCTGGACTGGGAAGATTTACTTCCTAACTCTCTCCTAAGATTGTTGAAGCATTCAGTTCCATGTAGATTGTTGGACCAAGACCTCAGTTTCTCATGAGGCTGGAGGTGTCCTTTACTTCCATTCATAGAGCATCTTACAAGATGGCAGTTTGCTTTATGAGGGTGAGCAAGTTAGAGGGCTAGAAGTCATGGTCTTGTCTTGGTCACTTAATCCCAGAAGAGCCATACTCTCAATTTTGCTGTTAGGTGTTCACGTGAAGCAAACTGCTGTGTCCAAGCCACACTTAAGGACAGAGATCATTGTGTAGGGAGGGAACACCAGAAGTTGGCATCTTGGGATGCCATGTCAGAATGGCCTGCCACAGGTCCTCAGTAATATCTTTTAGGTTTTCAAAGAGGTATGTAATCCAGAAAAGATTAGTATCCATTTTAGACCACTCTGAATTTTTAGGAGTATTTTTCTAGTTTGTAATTAAGTCATTTAATACTTTAGTTTTCATGACATTTCCTTTGGTTATTAAACTTCAAATATATGTAAAAAATGATGTTTAACATTTAAAAATAGTTAAACACAGCCTAGCTAAACAGTGCTGCAGTGTATGTAGTTCTAGTATGAAAATCTTAGGCTCAGATAAGATCCTTCAGTAATCATCGCATAATTCTAGTAGCTATATTGTCTGTTGGTTTAAAGTCAGGCAATGCAGGTAGTTCTATGCTAGCACAATGGAATAATTGCTTATAGAATGAATGAAATTGCTTTTGCTGGAAAATAGGTGGCAGAAACAAAGTCCTTTGACCAAGATATGCAGATGAGTACTAAAACAAATAAATGAATGAATGAAGGAGTATTTTCCATATTTGTGGATATTTCACTGGTTTTGCCCATATTAGAATATTTCTTCAGAGCCCTGGTAGAACTTAGTGTTTAGCCGCTAACTGTAAGGTTGGTGGTTTGAAGTGACAACTGCTCCATCACAGAAAAGACCTGGTAATATGCTCCTGTAAAGATTATAGCTCAGGAAATGCTATGGGGCATTCAGTTCTTCCTGAAATCAATTCAGCTCCAGAATTGACTCAACAACACACAGTTACAGAATGATATTTCCTACCATTCTTTGACTTGCCAATGTCCATTCATATTAAAAAGTAATCAACACATAGGCTGCCTGAGGATGCAACCCCAAATGATCTGCATTTGGGCCCCACCACCCTAAAGCCTGTGTACAGTTCAAATTATTATGCATGCTTTAACCTCAGGTTTGAAATTTAGCTTTTATCTCCAAAGCCCTTGTTATGCAGTTTTCTTTATTTTTCATTGATACAATTACTTTTTTT